CAGCAGGGCATCTCTCTGCTGAAGATTACCAAGCTCTGCTAAAGACTAAACTCTATCTGTTCTAAGAAGACTGCTTTACTCTAAGATACTGTCTGTCTGTCTCTCGCTCTCTCCAGCTAAAGTAGATAGCCCTCAAGCACCTAGGAGAAACTGTTCCTGAGCAAGGTAGCTTAGTGGTCCGCGTCCAGAACCTACCTAAGCTGGGCCCATAGACCTGGCCAGTCCCGGGCCCTGACAAGTGGTGTCAGAAGCAGATCCTGACAGCCTACAGCTCTAGTTCCAATTTCATTATCAGTTAAGAATCTTGAGTTACAAGCAACAGAATCCAACTCTGAAAAATTCAAGCAAAAATGACTCTGTTGTATAGATACTGGCTGGATAGGATCAAAGTAAAATTAAACGACCAGACTTCGTGAGAAAACGATGGCAACACAAGGAGTTGAGGTAGTTACAATTCATGAATCACCTCTTTAGGGCATTGTGGCTCAGTGACAACTGCCTCTGTTTTATAAATCATTCTGCTTAAGCTAAAAGGTTCCCTGAAGATTGTTTAACTGGGCTGGTTTGAGTCAAGCGCTCATCACCTGGCTTTGTGGAGGAATGAGAGAGGGAAAGTCACGGACGGTCAGGCCAGGACTCAATGGCAGAGGGGTAGAAGGAAAAGTGTGGGGCTTTCATTAAACTGAGGGGAAGGGATCCTGGGAGACTTTTACAAAACCACTGGGTGAAAATGGCGGCTATGCTGCAGTTTCAGCAGTAATGGAACCCAAAAATGAGAGACAGAAAAAGAGATACTGGTTTCTGCATCACATAATAGAAACGGATAACAGGGTTACAATCTCCCAGTTCCACACCATGTAGTGCTGCCTCCAGAGAGGTCCCACCCAGTTCCAGTTTGAAAAGTCTGATTGGCCCAGAGTGGGTGATGTGACGGGATCACTCAACTGTGGCAAGGGGCTTGGGTCTGTGGACCCCACAGCTATCTCTTGCAGTCTCCATCTCTTGGCCCGTAGTTTCAACTTCTGTAAAATAGAGCAATGTCCAGAGATGTTCAGGAGTAACTGGGACCCTCACGATGTCCAGGACTCTGGCTGTGATGTGCTTGTTGTTGATCATGAAGAAACTGATAGTTTCTCCCTGTTGGCAGTAAACTCAGCGTGGGGACTTCTGGGTGAATGAAACACGTTATTCCTTAGAGATGACTCCCAAGGGGTCTTCCTAGCCACAATCTTGAAAGCTTCCAAAACATTCCGTGAAGAAGGCAGGTTTTTGGTTTATTCAAGTATAAAGTACATGGCTCGGCGCCAGCCACATACACCTAAGGTGGCAGGTTCGAATCCAGCCGGGGCCTGCCAAGCAACAATGATGGCTGCAACCAAAAAATAGCCAGGCGTTGTGGCAGGCGCCTGTGGTCCCAGCTACTTGGGAGGCGGAGGCAGGAGACTCGCTTGAGCCCAGGCATTGGACGTTGCTGTGAGCTGCAATGTCACAGCACTCTACCCAGGGGGACAGCTTGAGGCTCTGTCTCAAAAAAAAAAAGTATAAAGTACATAAAGGAGGGTTAAAAGCACAGATCCTGAGTCACATTAATGACTTTTCTCAACATGAACACACTCATGAAACCAGCACCCCAGAGGCCCCTTCGAGTTCTCACCCATCACTATCCACACCCAACAAAAGGCAAGCGTTGCTCCAACTTCCAACATCATAGATTAGGTTTCCTTGACTTTGAACTTTGCACAATATGTACTCCTTTGTCTCTGGCTTTTTTTTTTTTAATTGTGGCAAAATATACATTAAGTTTGCCATTATAACCAATTTTTTTCTTTTTTGTTGGGGAATCATTGAGGGTACAAAGAACCAGTTTATACTGTTTGCATTTGCTGGGTAAAGTCTCTCTAATAATGTCCCATCCCTAAGAGGTATGTCACACACTGTGGTCCCACCCCCCACCCCCACCCCCGCTCCCCTATTCCTTTCCCTCCACCATGTACTAGCATTAATTGTCCTCATATCATAATGGAGTACGCTGGACTGTTGCTTCTCCATTCTTGTGATGCTTTACTAAGAAGAGTATTTCAACTCTATCCAAATCAATACAAAAGATGTAAAGTCACCATCCTTTTTAGTGGCTGAATAGTATTCCATGGTATACATATACCACAGCTCATTAATCCATTCCTGGGTTGGTGGGCATTTAGGTTGTTTCCACATTTTGGCGATTGTAAACTGAGCTGTGATAAACAGTCTAGTGCAAGTGTCCTTGTGATAAAATGATTTTTTTTTTTCTTCTGGGTAGATGCCCAGTAATGGGATTGCAGGATCAAATGGGAGATCTAGTTTGAGTTCTCTGAGGATTCTCCATACTTCCTTCCAAAAGGATTGTATTAGTTTTATTATCTCACCATCATTCTCTGAAATTACCCCTTAATTACACAGAATGTGAGTATGACAGCTGTAAGTCTAAACCAATCTCAGCGTATTGTCTTGCACTAGTGACTTAAAACTCACAGACACTGCGGCCACAGATGAAATTTTCTGAAATGAAGAAAAACTCTTGGAAAAACATTCTGACCAAAAACAAACTACAGGTGTTTCTTCATTTCTGCATAGGTCCTTCCTAGAAAATTAATTGTAGAACACTGTATGAAGTACTTGTGTTGACATGTAAATGAAATTTGGTTTAGTATCAGATATTTGCAAATAAGATTCTGTGAAACTAATTAGTGCGGTGTAACATCGGAATGTTGTGCTGGGCATAGGTCATGTTTTGTTGCACTGACTGCCCAGGCATCAACTGCACACACCTAGCAAACCTATTCCTGCCCGTTACATGTTGGTAGAGCCCCTCGATTCTTGTCATAACCAAAACACCTCCCACTTGGTGATGCTGTACACTGCTAGAATCATGGAGCTGTAGAAAGGGGCGTTACTCTACACCTCTGAGTTTGTGAGGGAAAAAATGAAGTAAAAGGCTCTGTGTCTGGCATATAATAAGTGCTGAATAAATGTAAATTTACTTCATCCCTCCTTCTCTCCATAGATTCTCAGCCTGATCAATAGGGAACCTCTGTCATCAACTGAGGCAATAGTAGGGAAGGTACTCGTGAGGTGAGTGAATTAGGCAACAATAAACACAGGTCACCTTGCTCCAGAAGCGGAATTAACATGACAGTTACATAGGCTGTTGAACTACACTAAATACTGTGGAGTAACTTGACTCAAAACACCAACTTTTCAGTGTAACTCTGTTCTCTCCCTGCTGCGGGGTTAACTACTAAGGCTTTGAGAACCCAGGGTCAGGCTGGAGGCTTATGCCTGGATACAGATGAGCCCCACGAGGGCAGGACCCTGCTGTCTCCCACCCTCCCTGCTCCCAGTGCTGGCCTGTGCAACAGCAGACAGGGATGAATTCCAAGGTGATCCACACCAGACTCTCACACCAGACCCTTTGTGCAGGCTGGACGTCTGTCCGGGACGCCTGCTCTCCCTAACTGCCCATCCTTCATTGACCTGGCCATCTAGTCTTCATTTTTTAAGTTTCAAGATGTATTACCTCCTCCAGGAGAGAGCTTCCTTGGATACTCCAGCAGAATTGGTTTTCACGCCCTCCTCTGTGTGTACGCAGGCATAGTCTTCCTCCTACCATAGTCTTTCCAATATTGTGTGCTTCCGGGCTTGGCTAACTCCCCAGCTGCTCTGCGAGAACTGTGTCTGGTTCATCTTCATGGCCCTGACAACCAGCTCAATAGCTGGCACACAGTAGGTACCCAACAAAAATTTACCTACCTTTCCCCTTCTTTGGACCTTAAACACACCACCAAGTCATGTCACGAAGATTGTTCCCAGCACCATTATCCAGGCTATATATGGAGAATCTCATTTTTCAAAAGGGAATAGTATGGGGTCCAAAGGACAGTTTATTTAAAACCGGTGACAAGGTATAAGAAGGAAGGAGGGAGAACAATCCTAACATAAAAGCACATAGGAAGCATCTCAAACTTTAAAGAAAAAAAGGCGGACGACGGAGGAACTATGTCTTATCCATATACAAACTGCTGACCTCAACTGATTATTTACATCCAAATCTTACAAAATAGCATTTCAAGTCAGCACACAAGCTAGTGTAATTAGTTTTTTGTTACAAAAAGTTAAAGCTACAAACTTCACATTTTTAAATTGTACATCAGCAACAACATTTAAGCTTTTGTTTTTAATCCAAGTTGGTCCGAGTGCAAGCTGGTACAAGAGATTTTTTTTTTTTTTTTTTTTCTGAACACAAACTAGAACATGTGTTCCAAAGACAGTATAAACCAGATGAAAACACAAAGACAGGGTGGGGTGGAGTGAAGATGTGAATTGGGCAGGAACAATTTTCCAGTAAATGAGGAGCTGCAATTTTTAGAGGCAACATGGTATGCTAGAAAGGACCCTGGAGTAAGAATCAGAAGACCTGGACTTGAATCCTGGCCCTGCCATACTCTAGGCCACATGACCTTGAGCAATAGACTTCCCCTCTGTGAGCCTCAGTCTCCTTCCCTGTAAAATGAGGACAATAATACCTCTATCTCCTAGAGTTATTAAAAACAGTTGCAAACCAATTGGCAGGGGCGAGGGGTGGTCAGGGATGTGTGAAAACAAGCTGGCCTGCCTCCATTCGTAGGTGACTGTTAAATTTCACCAGACCTAGGCTATTCAGATTATCTATGTCGTCTTAAGTGAGCTTTGGTACTCTGTATTTTTTAAGGAATTGTCCATTTCATTTATGTTGAAGTTATAAGCATAAAGTTGTTCATAACATCCTGTCATTAGCCCTTTAATAGCCATAGGATCTATAATGATATCACTGCTCTCACTGCTGATACTGAAAATAGCTACTGAGCTTTAAATGGTATAATGAATTTATAGCATCTGGTAGGTGCTAAACAAATACTTCCTGAATCAAGATCGATAGTCTCAAGGAATCAAGGCTACAGTTCTCAGATTACTGGTCCTATTTATCCATCGACACATGCCTATCTATCCATTCATCTATCCCCCAACCCTGTCAAACATTCATCCATCCAATTGGTGGCTGGAGGGAAACAGGAATGTGCTTCAAAATTGATGGGATAGCTATTAAGATATCTTAGAGAATTTGAGATTTTTTTAGAAGACATAATTAGGGCACCTTTGCTTAGAAGCAGAGAACTGAGAGACTTAGTTTCCTAGAAGCTTGAGTCAAATGCTCAAGCAATGACTGAAGCTCAGGGCTCAATGAAAGCAAGCTGATGTATCTTGAATTCAGCATTCAAGGAAAGTTTACTAGGACTTGCTTCTCTGCCTTTTGGTTGCAAGAAAACAAATACACCTTGTCAGGAAACTTCTCAGATCCAAACAAAGGGCTCTGTCTAGCTAGACTGGTGAGCAAGACTTTGTTGGACCCAGCACATCAGGTGCACATATGCTTGGAACAAAATAAACTCCAGATCAAGGTTTATGACCCAAGAATATTTATGGGGGAAAACTGAACTTTCTTTTACTTGTAGATAGCTTAGGACAGGAGAAAATGTGCTTTCTCCTCCTGTCTGGCCAAGTGCAAAGTTCTCTGTATAAAAAAGACTGACACAGAACTACTAATTAGTATAGCAAATGGTATGGGGGATTATGTGCTTGATACTTTGGTTTTTAAAAATCACTTGGCTGTTAGACTGGACTATTCAGCTATTTTCCAGCCTATAAATGCCAGCTGGACTGGCTTTAGTTTGAGCCTTAGTCTGAGCAAGAAGAGGTGGTCACTTCCTTTTAAACAGACTTGTGACTTTCTTTTTTCCTATAAATACTGACCTCATAATAGTGATGCTCTGAATCCTGATCCTATCACTGACTAGCCTTCCTGCTTACTGCCTAGTAGAGAAAGACCCTTTCTTTCCAAAACCATTTCTTCCTCTGTGAAATGGAGAGAAGGTAGTTAATTCACAGTGTTGTTTGTAACTCTGGACCCTACCGAGCTCAGTGCCTGGCTTGTAATAGGTAGTCAACAAATACTAGCTGCCTTTTATTACTCCAGCAAAATCCACAACTTGTCCTCTATTTTCTGTATCTGTCCCATAACTACTTCAGTGGCCAAAGACCAACAACTGCCTCTTGTATTTTTTTTTTTAATTGCTTTAACTACAAAGAACAGAATCTGGTCACAGAAAAGGAACATTCCCTGCCTTTCCATCGATTCCCAGGTGTAGGGAGCAAAAGCAATGATGGAGGCAAATCATGGTATCGTGAAGTGCAACCCCGTCATCGCTCCCCTCGCTGAGGGAAACAGGGATGAGGGGAAAATAAGGAGATACTTGTCTTTCCCAACTTCCACACAACTTTGCTGTGTGACTAAATGCCATGTGGCCTCCAGCCAAAGCTGCAGGAGGAAGGCTCCGTGCTGTGGTTCACAGAGCCCTGTGGACATGCTGAAAGGGATCACTGGCTCCTCTGAGCAAATTCTTCACAGCTAGCTCGCTCACTAAAGAGGCGAGGAGACAGCAAGTTTGTGTGAGCCGGGTTCTCTGGGATGACTAAACTAAAACTGACACAAGTCTCTTCCCTCAGAAAAGGGTTGCGTGGCCCAGGACTGAGGACCCTGCGTTCTAGTCCCGGCTCTTACTCTAACTTGCTTGATGATGTGGGCCATGTCACTTTCCCTCTCCAAGCCTCAGTTTTCCTACTCCTATGAGAAGGCCAGGCCAGACAATTTCCATGGTCCTTTCCAGCTCTGACACACTGTGTCTGGATTGAGCCTCCTGGGGAACAAATCTTAGTCTGAGATTCATTTACCCTTTCCAGACCCCTTAGCAGTAAAAGAAAAAAAAGTCACATATTTGAATGTGGCTCACAAAAGCAACACCCTCTACTCCATCTGTAAGGAACGTGGAGCAAAATGCCACGTGTATAATTGTCACATGAACAATGAGAGTGTCAGAAACCTTTTGCCTTTGTGGACTGCATGTTTGCTGAGAGTTCCTGGCAGGCCTGTCCCCTCACTGGATCATGTCTCCTCTTAAGGCACTGGGCAGTATCTGTTGTGACTTTAGGCAGCTGGGCGAGTGGACATGGATGAAAGGCGCTGAAACAGCAAAGGCCAATTTGCAGAGAGGATGCCAGGCTTCTCCTGGGACTCAAAGAGTAAACAGAGACTCTCAAGGCTTGCGCCTGGACATCACCAATAGCTCCAGGAGCCAGTGGTGACCACACAAGGCTGAAACCACGGTGAAAGGACTGTCCCAAACCTAATTTTTAAAGCAGCCCTGCAAAGGGTGAGGTTGGCTCTTGGGACTCCATGACTTCCCAACAGTCTCCTGGTGTCCCCTGCCCTCATGTTCCACAGTACCATAATCTTACAGAAGAGAGGCAAACTGTTTAAAACTGTACCTGTACAGAGATGCCACCACACTGAGTGGGGAATCTATTTATAATTTATATATATGCATATTTATATATTTTTAAAAAATCTTCCAGAAAGAACAATTGAAAGCCATTGGGAGAATAAAAACAAAAAGACAATGTAAAATTTTCCCAGCTATCACTCAACTAGAAGTCTCTGGTCCTGGGGTTTAAAACTGAGTTAAAAGCGCCAATACAAATCCTCTGAAGTAATGTACCTGACCTATGTAAATACGCGCATCAAAATGGCATGCTGACTGTCAAGGGAGCCCTTCCCATTGGCGCACATTCCTGAGTTCACAAAAGGTGCTGTGGAGAAACAACAGAGCAGAAGTGCTGGCTAACAGGAGTGAGGCAGTCCAGAATTCGTGGCCTGGGTGGAGGGGGCCTCCTCGCCTGGCCTTGCTCAGAAGTTCTGTTGCCGCCTCTTCTTTGCCTCAATGGCGTCCAGGATTGGCTGCCGCTTGGACTGGTACTTCTGCCGGATCTCTTCAATCTCCTGCTCCATCATGGGGTCCAGAGCCAAGAGTCTCTTCTGAAGGTCCTCCACCGTCCAACTCTTAAGCTGGAAGAGAAGTGCAAAGTACAGCTGTGACCAAGCCCAGGCTGAGGGTAGAATGGCAGCGAAGCCCGGGCTTCCCAGGCACCCAGAGGGAAGGGAGATAAAGGAGGGCACTGAGGTCAGACCACGCAGGGGCGGACTGGTGGCTGGAAAGTGACAGTTTATTCCAATGAATGGCACAGCTCAAAGCTTTTCTAGGCAATCCCTAGAAAAGTTCTCAAGTACTAACTTCTTTGATCTAATGAGCTCTAACCAGGAACTTAGTAACACTCTCACCTCCCCGATCTTTTCAATTAAATTAACATAAATCCACAGTTAGGGCATTTTAAAATAATAAATAACTTGCTATCTGCAAAATAACAGCTGCCTCCCATTAGACAGTGTCTGGACAGTGCCCATCTCTCTTTTGGGACGTCACACCAGAGGCTGGATGCTGAATGAGGATCTGATGTTCTCCTCTCCTGCCTTCCCACAACCCCACTACTGTGGCACTCTCATACCAATCATCACTAATATTTACTGGGGGGTAATAATAATATATACCAGGCACCTCTCTAAGCCTCTTGGGAATAGAGACACAACTCCTGGCAGGGTTGAGCAGAGGGGATGGGTAGTTGGAGAAACCCTGAAACTTCTGAGATTAAGTTTCTATTATCCAGAGGAAAAAAGGACTTGATATGTAAATTAAGAATAATGGCTAGCCTTTATAGCTTCACATGTGCTGATTTATTTCATCTTCACAACAACCCTATGATGTAAGTATATTATCTCCATGTTCTCGATGAACAGGCCAAGGAGAGGGTGGCTTAGTAACCTGTCCATTGTCTCCCAGCTAGTAAGTGGCAGACTCGAGACGCAAAGCCAAGTAGTGTGGCTCCAAGCTCTTCATCAGTTATTATGGAAGAGCACACTAGCAAAGTTTTAGAACTCATTCAATTTATGTTTAAAACATGGCTCTGCCTAGTGAACATCATGAGATTCTGGCAAGTTAACAATCTTTCCAGGCCTTCCTCATCTACAGAAGTGGACCATAGTGCCTCATGTGGATTATAAGAATTAAATGAGATCGTGGCTATAAAATTCTTAACAAGGTACCTGGTGTACTATGTGCTTAACGATGGCAGTGGGTGTCACAACCCTCTCTTCACTGAGGCCCAGGAGTGCACCCGTGTTCCACCCATGTTACAATTATGGGGCAAGTGGCTCCCCTGCCGGATGTGTAGATTCCAGGCACGGCCGGTCTTGGCGGGCGGGGTGGGAATGAATGCCCACGTTATCCACAGCCAGTCTAATAGGTGCAGTGTTTCAAGAACTCCAAGGCTCCCCCCAAGTCTTACAAGTGGTCTGTTGTCCCCATATTTAGAAAATCATGATCCTCAGCCCCTCCAGAGGCCTCCACAGGAAAGTGGTCCAGGAGGTGGGTGAAGGAGCCTCTTTCTGCCTGCCCCTCCTGGGGGTGTGCGCACCAGCGTGAAGTGCTACAGTGGCCTCCCTAGAAATGGTTTAGTGACCTGTCACCACAGGAATTTTCCTTGGCCTGCTTCAGGGAGGTTGTCTGAGAAGTGAGAAAAGCCTAATAGTTCAAGATGAAAGGTTCTTTGTAATGTGAGAATGGAAAGCCTTGAGAATGTGGGGAAATGCTGGCACGTTGGGCTGAAAAAAAATGCATCTTTCCTGCCAGCCTATGGGTTTATACCACCTTAGAAGTTGGTATTCTGTTGGGCTGAAAATGCATCTTTCCTGCCAGCCTATGGGTTTATGCCACCTTAGAGGTTGGTGTTCTTGGCCCAGAGACACCCCAAAGAGTGCTCAGCTTGCCTAGTCCTTAGCATTTCAATTTCTTCCCCCAAGGAAGAACTCCCCAAACCTAACACTGAACGTCACTGGGAGTTAAAGAACTTACTCTTTGGTAGTATGGATCCTAAATCTCTACTGGCTGTGTAACCTTGAACAAGTAATTTTACCTCTTGAGCTTCAGTTTTCTCCTCTGGAAAATAGACAATGCTAGTTCCTCCACCCTTGGGTAACAATGAGACTTAGACAAGATAACAGGCAGATGGCAAGCACTCCATGAATTGTCGGTATCACTACTGTTGTTGTTATTATTGGCAAGTCTCTAATTTTCTATAAATAAGCTGTTCCTATAACCTCTAGCTAGAATCAAGTGAAAAAGAAAACATTCTACTCTATTTTATGCTAACAATGCCCAAAGGCTGGTACTTTGCACAAAGCCCATTAACTTATTTACAGATTAACAAAATATTTTGCAACCATTTACCAAACATTCACTGAACATCTACTATGGGTCTGGCACTGTTTGAAACACAAAAGAAACTTCAGTGAAAGAAAACCCCCAAAACCATTGCCCTTGAAAAGCTTACATTTCTAAATATTACATTTAGAAAAATAACAAACACAATAAATTAGTAAATTATTATTACATTAGAAGGTGCTTTGGGGGCAAAAGGAAAAACAGTGAAGGAAGGGGAGCTGGGAACTGAGCAGCAGACCGGGGTTTTCACCCACCCATTAGGATGAAGAATAAACTGCGAAAGGAAGAAATAGAAGTTACGGGAACTGCCCCAACTTTCCAACCTGTGTGCAACTTTGGGCCAGCCCCTTCTCCCTCCTTATACCTCAATTTCCTCCTGTGTAAGAGAGGGCTGACTGGTCGATCTTAGAGGTTTTTCCAGACTCAGTGTTTGTCAGCGTAGGATCTGTGGATCACTGCGTCAGAATCGTGTGTCACAGATTCTCCAGCCCCAAACCAAAGGTACTTAACAGATTCCCTTGGAGACTGAGGCACAGGACTGAAACATCCTAAAGAAGCTAACTGGGTATTTCTTATAAATCCTCGAATTTGGTAAACACGATCTTACATCTTATTTTTTGTTTGTAAAATTCTCATAATTTTGAGAATTTGCTGCCTGTCTCTGGTCCAAGCTTCTTACAGCTTTCTAATTTCTAGGCAATTTTTTTGCCCTTGAGCCTCTCTGGAGGCAATAAGCACCCTTCCTTTATCTCAGCCACTTTCAGACTAATTTACAGTGTCATAAGGCCTTTGGGGCCTAAGTTACACCTGATCTATTAGAACACAGCCAGCCAGGCACTGCTGATGACTCGGTCACACTATCCAGATATGGATTTTTCTGAAAAACAAGCTCAGACAATGGTTTTATGGCGCCAAGTATAGCATTTCACCTTCCTGGTCCTTGGTAGCATAAATAAATTTCAAATGGGGATCTTGCAGTATGACTACAGATCTACAGTTCTGCAACAGTCAACATCCTACATGAGCAAATCAAAGCAGCCACGTAGGTTGGCTTGAGCTATCTTCACTAGGTAAGGAAAGTACCACTATTTAGTATTTCATCTATTCCCTACAATTAAACGTCATCTCTATACTCTGATTCCCACATTTATATCTCTAACCCAGAATTCCCTGAACTCCAGATCCATACGTGCATCCAGGTCAGAGCATACTGAATTATCTGCCCCTGATTATGTCATGGAAATCTGCAACTTCATATGGCCAATGCAAAACTCTTGAGTCCCATCTCTCCCTCAGCCCAAATATCTTCTCCATATTTTCTTGTTCTCCTTCTTAGGAATGGTGCCACCACCCTCATGGGTGCCCAGATCACCCTGGCCCTGCCCTTTCCTTCGCCACTCTCCTGCTAACATCCAGTCCTTCAGCAGTCCTGTTAATCTCATCTCTTGAAATTCTGGCCCAACTCAAACCCAACCACTTTTTCCATCTCTCTCCACCACAGTCCAGGCCAGGCCACCATCATCTCACAGCAACAAACAATTAAAAATACAGAAATGAATCTGATCACATCACCCTTATGTTTCCTGCTGCACTTAGAATAAAATCGAACTCACTAGGGCCTATGAGGGCTGGCCCCTGCCTCCTCTCCAACTTCATGGCCTATAACTCTCCCCTTTGCTTGGGACCCTCCAGCCACTCTTTATTTCAGATGCTTAAACAGGCCACACATTCTCTGGCCTTGGTGATCTAAGGAGTTAATGCCCCTTTCCCTTCCTGGCTCAGGGCCAGTTCTTCCTTATCCTTTAGGTTTTAGCTCAGATGTCAATTCCCTGAGGATGCAAACCTTCTGACCATCTTATCCAGAGAGGTTGCCTATTCTCCATTACTATCACAGCTGTTTGTTTATTTCCTTCAAAATAACCATCTTTTAATTATTTTTATTTTCTTTTACTTGGAAATAAGTTTTCTTACTAGGAAATAAGTTTTTTTGTTTGTTTGTTTTTGTTTTTGTTTTTTTGAGACGGAGCCTCAAGCTTTCCCCCTAGGTAGAGTACTGTGGCGTCACAGCTCACAGCAACCTCCAACTCCTGGGCTCAAGCGAGTCTCCTGCCTCAGCCTCCCAAGTAGCTGAGACCACAGGTGCCTACTACAACGCCTGGCTATTTTTTGGTTGCAGCTGTCATTGTTGTTTGGTGGGCCTGGGCTGGATTCGAACCCACCACCTTAGGTGTATGTGACTGGCACCTTAGCCACTTGAGCCACACGCGCCGAGCCAGGAAATAAGTTCTATGACGGAATGACCTTGTCTGTCTTGTTAACTCTGCTAAACATAATGCCTGCTGAAGAAGTGAATAAATTACCTTTCATTGCTAGTCAAATGATGATGAAAGCCACTGAAACCAAGGTAACAAGCTTACACTGAGCACCACTGGGCAACAAGGCTCTGGGTGCTGAAAGGACTCAGTGTAGAAAAGAAGTGAGTTCTTCCCTCAAGTTCTTTAAACTTAAAGGTGATTCTCCTCAACATTCTTTTGAAATTGAAGGAGATCTCTGCTCACTTAATGAAAATCTCACTATCTCTCTTTCTTTTTTTTTTTTTTGAGACAGGGTCTTGCTCTGTCACTTGGGCTAGAGTGCAACAGTAGCATTATTGTAGCTCACTGCAACTTCAAGTGATCCTCCTATCTCGGCCTTCTAAGTCACTGGGACTATAGATGTGCAATACTACCCC